CCCGAATATTTTTCAAAACAGAATTTGAGGGGGAAAACTTGAAGAGCCAACTCTCACCCTGCTGCGGAGGGCCCAGCAGAGGCCGGCACCCACGGGGTGGGACCTGCGGCGGGTGTGTCCTCTCCAGCAGGTGCCTGCCCTGGGTTCCCTGCCCCCACCCCGACCGGAACACCGTCCGTTACCTTTTCAAGTGTTCCAGCAGGAAGAGGAAGGTGATGAGGTTGGGGTCGGGCAGGGAGCGGAGCAGGTGCATCATGCAGTTTTCCTTGGCAGCAGGGTCCGACAGGGCTGTGGGGAGAGACAGGGCTGGGGCGGGGCTTGGCTCCCAGGCTGGGGGGCCCTGGCCAGCACCTGGTGGTCAGGAGGCTGCAGGCCCCGAGGGGGAGCCCCGGCTGTCCTATGAACAGCCAGTTCCTCTAGGAGGCCCCACCCACAACCTGCTACTCAGCCAGGGGGCAGCTGGCGGGGAGCAGACACCCGCCTCCCCTCACTGCACAGGCCTTTGCGGCTGATGCCGTTCCCCACCCCGGTCTGTCAGGCAAAGTTTAAGACAAGGATGACACTGCGTGGATGTTGTCTCAGCCACTCAGATGCTGGAGCACAGCCAGTGCCTTCCAGGGGCTCATTTCTCCTGGTGGCTGGAGCCCTGACCTGCCCCAGGGGAAGACGAGGCAGGAGGGATGCACCAGGCCTGGATTTGGCCCCGGTGGGTGGAGGCCAGAGCCCTGCTGGCCAGGGCCCTCCGCTGCCTCCCCACCCATGGCACCAGCCACCTCAAGTGCACGCCAGCTCTAACCAGGCTTCTCCACAGCTCTGGGGCGCTGGCCCCTGACCACCCACTGCGGGGCAGATTTCCTTGGACACCCAGGTTTCCAAGCAAGGGGGTCACTGTCCAAGGAGGAAGCACAGAGGGCAGCCCACGGGACAAGAGGGGAGAGAGGCAGGTGCGATAGGGCCCAGCCGCTGGCTCAGGCCCCAGCAGACCGCACCCTGCCCCCTGGCTACTCAGGTGCATTGAGCAGATCGATGAACAAGGGAAGCCACCGGCTCTTATGTCGCTCTTGACTCTGCTGGTCAGCAGGCCTGGCTCAGCCCGGCCGTCAGGTTCCCGGAGCCTCACCGATGCCCTCCATGAAGGCGGGGAACAGTCGGTCTGTGAGGAGGGGCTCGGGCAGCTCCCGGAAGTAGAGCTTGAGGGTGCCAGCGATGGCGTTGATGTCCATGTCACTCAGCATCAGGAGGATGTCCTTGTTATCTGTGGAGGAGGTGCGAGGTCAGGGGCCACACGGGCCCGAGCCACCTCTCCCATGCAGCCCTCAGCTGGTTGGGTGCGGCTGTTCCACTCCCCACCCATCCCTCACCTACCAGGGGTGCCCCCACCCACTCCCCCAGACAGGGAGTGCCCACAGGTGGTCTGGGACTCAAATCCATGGGGGGAGGGGGAGGGGGAGGGGGAGGGGGGAGGGGGAGCAGAGTTCATCATCCAGAATTCTGGAGCCACATCCAAACCACGTGCCACACACCCTCCTTCCAGCTGGAACCTCCCCACTGCTCAGCCTGCGCTGGAAGGCACTGCACATTTTTACACCGAAAACCATGTTCCAACGAAGCCTCAGCCTCCAGGTTGCACTGAGGAGCCAGCGTGTCCCCAGCCCCTCAGCCCAGGCTTCCCGAATGCGTCTGCCTGGCAGCCGCCCAGGGACACCCACACCCACTCTCAGCTCCCCTGGAATCGGTACTGCCAGGCCGGCCAGTTCTGCTTTCCCGACTACGGGGGGTGGGGGTGGGGGTGGGGAGGTAGGGGGTGGGGGGGTGCTGCTGCTGAGGCCTGAACTGGCGAGATGGGGGAAGGAGACCTAGAAAGGGCAGGTCTACCACGGAGGAGTTTTCAGTCAAAGCCACAGACAACAATGCCCCTCCCAGAAGGCACTTGGGGCCCTGGAGATGGTGGAGGGGAGCCAGCCAGCTCAGGCTCAAAGTCTCTCCTTCCCTTGCACCCCTAGGAGCCTGGGAGCTAGCGAGAGCCAGGAATTTGGACTCTGAAGTCGGAAGGATCTGCGTTTAAGACAGGCTCAAAACCTACTAGCTGGGCAAGCCTGGGCCAGTGTCTTGACCTCTCTGAGTCTCAGTTCCCTTACCTGTAGCAGTGGGTAGGGGCTGGAGGGGAGGGGACCATATGAGAAAGTGCAGGAAGAGCCCTTGCCACAGGGACTCGGAAATGGTCCAGCCCACGCCACCCGACTGCAGGTAGAAGCCGAGGCTCCTCCCTCGCTAATCGGGCCTCTCCATGGAGAGGGCCTCCTGCCTCCACGGGGCTCTCCTGCCCGCTCTGCGCCTGCTGGAGCACCATCTCCCCGCCACCTCCACTGGGCTCTCCTGCCCGCTCTGCGCCTGCTGGAGCACCATCTCCCCGCCACCTCCACTGGGCTCTCCTGCCCGCTCTGCGCCTGCTGGAGCACCATCTCCCCGCCGCCTCCCACTGGGCTCTCCTGCCCGCTCTGCGCCTGCTGGAGCACCATCTCCCCACCGCCTCCCACTGGGCTCTCCTGTCCGCTCTGCGCCTGCTGGAGCACCATCTCCCCACCGCCTCCCACTGGGCTCTCCTGTCCGCTGTGCGCCTGCTGGAGCACCATCTCCCCGCCGCCTCCCACTGGGCTCTCCTGCCCGCTACACGTCTGCTGGAGCGCCATCTCCCCGCCGCCTCCCACTGGGCTCTCCTGCCCGCTACACGTCTGCTGGAGCACCATCTCCCCGCCGCCTCCCACTGGGCTCTCCTGTCCGCCTGCTGGAGCACCATCTCCCCGCCGCCTCCCACTGGGCTCTCCTGTCCGCTCTGCGCCTGCTGGAGCAACATCTCCCCGCGCCTCCCAATGGGCTGGCCTGCCAGCTACACGTCTGCTGGAGCACCATCTCCCCTCCGCCTCCCACTGGGCTCT